TTTTATTACATAAAATTTACATTCCTTTAGCAACTACTTTACTTAAGGGAAAAGCAATTTTTTCCATCTAATTTGCAGCCGTGCTTTTTTAATATTCAAAAACGCTACTTCTTCTCCCCAATTTGATTAGCCAAATAGTAAAAGTTTATTAGCATTTAAATATTGGCAATGGAGTTTATAGAGTTCCGCATTACATATAAACTAACAAACTAAATGGAGGAACGATTTTTTTTTTTTTTTTTTACGACTGAATTACAGCCATAAATTACGACTGTAATTTTTGACAAATATTTCCCATCGACTTGGTGTCTCATGAACGAGGGAACATGTACATTTCACTTTGCGATTGTTGCCTTATATATTATATATAGGCTTCCTCGACGGTTTGCTCGAACGTGAAGGAATGAGCGAGTTTATCGATCCTCTTTAATGTCTTTTTTCGCTATTGTCGGCAATATAAAGTTCCTAGATGTGCTGGTTACAGTGGTTTGGTAAGATTTTTAAGGCCCTATGATTATTTATTGCTTCATTAATTTCCTAACCGTTTAGTATTGTATGTGTGTATGAAATTATCACTGGAATAAATGAAGAGAGTTTATTGGTGTTGTAGTAAGGGTGAGAGGCTTGGTCGGGTGACTTTTAGAATATTCAGCAGTAAGATTTGTTGAAAAATTATTATTATTCATTAGCTGAGAGATGTTTATGAAAATGTAATTTAGAATTACATTCAATGAATGAATGTAGTAATTCCCATAACCACTTTTAATTAGAATATAATTCCAAAGTATAATCTAGGCGCTTGCACTCGGCAAGAAAGTAAATATAACATAAAAATATAACTTTTTTTATTACTGTCTTATGTCGTTTATTAAAAATTTTTATTACGATGATTATTTTAAACACTGAAGATCTTATCGAACAAGTTAAATTTTAAAATAAAACTATTTCTCCGAGTTTATTATTCTTCAACTTTTTCATCTTCTTCTTCTTCTTCCTCATATCTTTCTTTCTCATTTTCTTTTTCTTCTTCTTCTTCTTCCTCATATCTTTCTTTCTCATTTTCTTTTTCTTTTTCTTTTTCTTTCTCATTTTCTTTTTCTTTTTCTTTTTCTTTCTCATTTTCTTTTTCTTTTTCTTTTTCTTTCTCATTTTCTTTTTCTTTTTCTTTTTCTTTCTCATTTTCTTTTTCTTTTTCTTTTTCTTTCTCATTTTCTTTTTCTTTTTCTTTTTCTTTCTCATTTTCTTTTTCTTTTTCTTTTTCTTTCTCATTTTCTTTTTCTTTTTCTTTTTCTTTCTCATTTTCTTTTTCTTTTTCTTTTTCTTTCTCATTTTCTTTTTCTTTTTCTTTTTCTTTCTCATTTTCTTTTTCTTTTTCTTTTTCTTTCTCATTTTCTTTTTCTTTTTCTTTTTCTTTCTCATTTTCTTTTTCTTTTTCTTTTTCTTTCTCATTTTCTTTTTCTTTTTCTTTTTCTTTCTCATTTTCTTTTTCTTTTTCTTTTTCTTTCTCATTTTCTTTTTCTTTTTCTTTTTCTTTCTCATTTTCTTTTTCTTTTTCTTTTTCTTTCTCATTTTCTTTTTCTTTTTCTTTTTCTTTCTCATTTTCTTTTTCTTTTTCTTTTTCTTTCTCATTTTCTTTTTCTTTTTCTTTTTCTTTCTCATTTTCTTTTTCTTTTTCTTTTTCTTTCTCATTTTCTTTTTCTTTTTCTTTTTCTTTCTCATTTTCTTTTTCTTTTTCTTTTTCTTTCTCATTTTCTTTTTCTTTTTCTTTTTCTTTCTCATTTTCTTTTTCTTTTTCTTTTTCTTTCTCATTTTCTTTTTCTTTTTCTTTTTCTTTCTCATTTTCTTTTTCTTTTTCTTTTTCTTTCTCATTTTCTTTTTCTTTTTCTTTTTCTTTTTCGTTTTCTTTTTCTCCATTGGCTACTTAGTTGTATCGTACATTTATTGTCAATAAATACTACAATGTAAAATAACTTTGAAAATATAAGTGAAAATTTACAATCTGCTTCTGTTAAAAGTGATTTATAAATCTTTTTTATCTACTTTTAATAGTATCATTGATATTTTATAGTAAATAAGCTATAGCTGGATGAAAGTCATAAAGATCCGTTTGTCGAATCGTAGCGATGTTTTGCGAGTTTTGTTTACAATATTATAAAATATGAATACTACGTTAAAACAAAGTTATTACCATTTATTTTATTTTATTTATTTTTTTTTCCATGAAAAAACTGATGGTTTGAAAGGTATATTGCATGAAAATACATTCTCAATTTTATATCACGATTTCCATGACTGTCACATAACGATGAATATTTATATTGATATTTACGTTTAAAATGTATCGCAATGTATTGATTAGTAGACAATAAAAAACAATAAAGTCACTCGCTGATCCTGCTGCTGCTGCTGCTGCTGTTTGAAAAAAAAAAAAAGAAAAGAAAAAAAAAAAAAAAAAAAAAAAAAAAAAACTAAATATATCCCCAACATTGTAGTACAAATGAAATAGTTTTGCGCTATCGCTATTTGGCTATTTGAATAGCGATCTTTCGTAATCGGTAAATAACTTAATAGCTATAGATATAGATAAGTTAAGATTTTAACTTGTACGCAATACTTTATTAAAAAAAAATTTTATCCTATTATTCTATATATATATATATATATATATATATATTTATATATATATACAATTTTTTTTTTTTTTTTACGAAACGACTATTTTTAAGTATTTCATCACGCTACTTCGACACATGGAGATCGACACGCGCGCACACACACTCGTAATTGAAAATATGAACATTAATATCGTAAAAAATGCCCAAAAACCGACCCGACCAAACTCATAAAGTTTGTCGATGTATCTGTTAATCAAATAGCGTAAGCTCGAGTGTCGTAACGTCGTATTTGTTTCCAACTTACGAAAACCACGAGCGCTTAACACATTTGTACTAAGGCTTACGATAATCTCGTACACCGCGGAATAAGAAAAACGCAGAGAGCGCGGAACCTGATCCGGTATAATTATAAAAATGAAATTATCATAGCTTATAATGTAATGACTGGTAAAGGGACAGCAGCAGCGACAGCGGCAGCGTCGGCTCGACGTGCCACCGGCTACTATTAGTACTAAGCGACAGAGGCAGGACTAGGATCGAGATATCCACGGAATTGCAGCGAGAGTGAAACAAATGGAGGACGCGTGCGGCGGGCCGCGGCGGGAAAAAAAAAAGCAAACAAATAAGAAGGAGAATATAATGGAGAGAGGGAGAGATGACGAGAGAGACGCGTAAAGAAGACGACTGGGGCGCGTCGACGAGTATCGCGCGCACTGATGATAAAACGAGTAGGCGAGTGAGCGAGTGAGCGAGTGCTCGAGGTCGGTTGACATTAACACGGTTCGCGATGAGTTCGTGTGCTGGCGTTGGTCGAGGTCGAAGGTCGATAAGGGAATCGCAATCGGCCGTGGATTAGGGGCGAGATGGTTCCATCGCCCGTCGGAGATGATACGTCTATTCGCCTCTCTTCATGCGGCTTTAATAGGGCCGAGTTGAATCGCCGCCTCCAGCTTCTGTACAATTGTCGGGGGCTTTGATTGGAGGCCGCCGGGCAATCGGAAAAGTAATCGTCGTGGCGTGTCAACGAAGGCGGAAATTAATGGCGCTATATTTAAGGCGAATGGCTTTATTATTATTGCGATTGAACGCGCGCGCGTTAAATAAGCAATTGGCCGGAAGGATTGCGTCGCCTGATTTCCTCCATTCTCTCGGGCTTTTCACTTTTTCTTTTTCTTACATGCCCAGCCATTTAAGTAACGTGCCAATGTACTTTCGTTAGAATCGCAGCCTATAACGTAGATCCCATAGAGTCGTGAGCGCGTGCGCTGCGCGTATGGATGATGGATATGCGAGCTAATAAATGCGATACGAGGAAACGAGGATAATTTTATAATCGACTCTATGCTCTTTCCAATGTCGACGAAGTTCGTTTGAAATCGTTAAGCTTCGGGACTGTTTGTGCATAACGGTTAAATATAACGATGATTAAGCGTGAAAAAATGCAGTAGACTTGAATTTTACTAATTTTCCGAGCGAAAAGTGGTGGTCGAACGCGTCGAAAATCCGTTGGATTTTGCGATATGTTGTTTTCACTCCCAGATCACTCCGCGGCCAGAAATGAACGAATTACGAATAACGTTATAAGCAAATGTTCGACGTGACGTTTTGTGGACGATGGGAGGGGGATTTCTGGGAAGAGTACGAGTGAATTGTTTTCAATAACGAAGGCGAGAAAGCCGATTTGTGGCTCGTTTTGTGGTCATAACAAACGTGAAAACGCAAAGGGATTGGCTGGCTGGTTGACTCGATCGCGAGAAACCCCGAACTGGCGGATAAAATTTTCAAAACTATTATTTGCATATCGATTGTGTAGAGGAGAGCAGCAGTTTGTCCGATATTTCCTCGTTGCGACCGAGTCCTTCGACAAAGCGCGAGGCGCTATTGGGTCATAAACAAAATAAATCGCGCCCTCCTTGTTTTTCGTAGCGTCGGAATTAGGAAAAAGCACCTTCTCGAGCTGAGTATCGTCGTGTCGCGGTTTCGCGGAAGCATCGACAACTGCGACGGCAAGGAGGGGATCGGGAGGAGCGGAGGTGAAATAGTAAACAAACGGAGAGAAAAAAAAGGCTAGTGAACGTGAAGGAGGAGGAGGAGGAGGAGGAGGTCAAAATAAGTAAAGTCGCGGGAAAAAGATAAACAATTTGAGAAGTCGCGTGGCGCTGGGGAAACGGCAGCGGCAGTGTCGACGGTGACGGGGCAGCGGGGCGGCGGCGGCGGCGGCGGCGGCGGCGGCGGCTGCGGCGGTGTCGGCTTCGGTGGCGTCGTCGTCGGCACGTGGCGCCGGTATCGTCCTCGTGAGCCGAGGCTCGCGCCCCGGTCTCCAAGGCCACTCCATTGAGTAAACGCTAACGCGCATAGAAGAGAGATGATGGATATGGTATTTACATGATGGAAGTGTGCTGCTGGGGCCTCGGCGGCTGGTGGTGCTGGGAGTTCCCCGTGGGCCTCGCCTCCTTCAGCATCTTGCTGGCGCTGAGGGGCGTCGTGACGCACATGACGAGAGGCCTGTTCCTCATGGGTGCGGTGGGCCGCACCGGCCACGGTCCTCGCGACGTCGGGGCGCCGGGACCTCGGCACCGTCGGGCATCTGGCCGCGGCCTCCTCCGCCCGGGACACGCGCGCGCGCTTGCGCCTCTACTCTCGTCGAGAGGAGAGACAGCCGGACGCAGCCGGACGGACGGACGGACAGACGGACGGACGGACGGACGAACGGACGGACGGACGGACAGACGTACGGACGTACGGACAGACAGACAGACAGACAGACAGGCAGACAGACACACAAATAAGCAGACAAGCAGGCAGGCAAGCGGCAGGCAGGCAGGCAGCAGGCAGGTAGACAGGTAGACAGGCAGACTGGCCAGACAGATAGAGGTCGGAATTGAAGAGCTAATGAACGAGCTAAGGAGATTGAGATTGAAATTGAGAGAGAGAGAGAGAGAGAGAGAGAGAGTGAGAGTGAGAGTAGAAGAGTGAGAGGCAGAGAGCAAGAGAGAGAGAGAGAGAGAGAGAGAGAGATTACAGAAAGTGAGTGCGTGTATTGTGTGTGGTGAATTAGAGGTTGGTAGAGGAGGCGGAGGAGGTAAAGACGAGTGCTCGCGGATGGCTACTACTGCTACTGCTACAACTGCTGCTGCTTCTGCTGCTGCTGCTGCTGCTGCTGCTGCTGCTGCTGCTCCTGCTGTTGTTGGCTCACGGTGCTACGTCGCACGCTCGACTTCGTCGGTAGCCGCGGGCCTACTGATCGCCCCGGTGCTCTTGTGCTCGGCCGCGCGCCAGGCGTGGGTGTACACGCGGCCGCGCCGTGCCGCGTAGTGGGGGCCGAGGGGAGCCGCCCCATTGGCCGCCGCCGGGGGCAAGACCGCGTGGGGGGCGACCCGGGACCAATGGCCGCGATCCCCGGGTCGCCGGGGTGGCAGAAGCAGCGGGGCTACCGAGCGGGAGCCTGGCATTCGGCCGCGAGCCGTCGCGACCTGCGCTTCGTGTTCGCGTTCGTTGCCTCTCGTTCTGGAGGCTCGGCGGAGTTCTGCGGGTTAAAGAAGATGAAAGGAGAGAGAGAGAGGAGTGTGTGTGACCAGGGCGCGCACGATTTACGAGGTGTTCTGGCTTGGACATCGCTGGTCGACGAGACGACTGACCCTTCACGATCTGCTCGGACGACCTCTGCGACAATGTGAACGTCGACGGCGTCGACGCATCCGAGTTGTGAATCCCGGGGATCCCATTACTCGTCGTAACGTTGCACATTCATTTTACGATAATCGCACTCAATGTTCGAATCTCGTAAAATAATGTTATTTTTGGAAAAATTTTACGAACGGTGCGCCATTATTCCATTAAATTTTATTAGTAGTGCTTCTTTTTTTTTTTAATTACTATGTAAAAAATACCGCGTGTAATGTCGACACTTTAGCAACAAATAAAAAAAAAAAAAAAAATTATGTAAATAAATAAATAAATAATTGTTTACTTTCTCAATCGACGACAAAAGTGAATAGATTTTATTAAAGTATGACCGAGATTTACTGTAAAAGGCCATTTTGCTTGCCGATTGGCTTGACTCGTAATATTTATTTATGAGACGTTAATTGTTGAGCTTTGTGAGGACGAGAGAGGCATTTCTAATATTTGTGAAAGGCTATAATTTTAAGGTAAGCCTGAGGCATGTGAATATTTGTTAGTAGAGAAGTGTTCTAAAGTATAGTGTTCGCGTCAGTTAAGTCGGATATTTTTATAAATTTTCCTTAATTGTTTGTCGTTGATTAATTAATGATTCATCATTCGCAATGTCTCGATAACGTCGGGAAAGATATTTTTATAAAATGTGCTATAATGTTAATGTTAACGTCACGAGGATAAATATAATAATAATACGTTATATGCTGTTTGTCACTAGAGAATCGCGTATCACTTGAAAATTAAACGAGTGCAAAAATTGTTTGATCGAGTATTAATAATTTGAGCACATTGTTTGGTAAAACGATACTTGTTACATTTAAATACCTACCGAGACAAACTCTACTGTAAGACATTTTTTATTTTTAACGCAATACCGTATTATTAAATTGTATTTATTATTTATATATATATATATATATATATATATATATATATATATATATATACATAGATGTGTGCGTGTGTGGCGAGTGTGCGCGTGAGTGAGTATATTAAATTGTAATGCGGTCACATGATAAGAGGCCAGTTACGGTAATGATTTTGCATTACATCTGTAAAGTGTATGAGATAAAACGTTTTGTATATTATATATTTGTTAAATAAAGATTTTATTGACCCAATAATTTTGTGTCGTTATTATTAAATGAAACATAAATAATCGTTGTAATATTCAACATTTTAACGAGAAATTATCTCAATAATAATTATTTCGATGATTTGTTGATTAATTTTAAGTACGTTTTAAAATCTATATTACTTGAATTTTCAAATATTATGATTGGCCTGCTAATGCACTTATTTTCCAAAATCGAGAATCCAATAATGTCGAATGCCATTACATCTCGAATAATTTCTTAAGATATAGTCAGGTGTGTGGTTGGAGTGGACTTGTGATTCGCTACTATATGACCATTCGTTATTATTTAGAATTTATAAATATTTCGTGGTAATGAATAGCCGCGGGGATGCGAGCTACAGTGGCATTACGCAATAAATGAAAGGTAAATTTATTATTATTTTGATAAGGATATATTATATGTGCAGTAATTGCTGAAAATTCATTCGCTTGCTCAGTGCGAACTCGACTATATCGCCGGGCCCACTTTGAGCGACATTATCAGCCAAACGTTCTCGCGCTTTTGTCACTGGAATGTCAATGCAAAAGAAAACAAAAAGAAAAAAAAACAAAGCACGCGAAAACACATGGTCCATAGCAATGGACTTTGGAAATGTTTAGAGTGCGATGTACATCCATTATGACGAAGAAGTCTATGTGGCCGATTACGGGACCGCGTGTAATACTCCAATAAAGTCATTAAAGGGACAAAGCAAGTGAAGGACGAACGATGAGAGACAAGAAAATGAATTTTTAACCGAATTTCTCGGGGCCGCAGCCGCAGCAGAACAAAGGCAGACTCGACACGTAAAAAGTCGAGAACGTAGCTCCCCCCCCCCTCCCCTCGCCCCTATATAAATAAAGAAAAAGGACGTTTTTCGAAAGTACGTAGGTAATAATAATGACGGAGGCATTTGAGAAGAGAAGACGAGGCCCAGACAGAGATTGCTCGCGCAATTACCGATATTTACATTCGCGTGCCTCATCGTATCCTCGATCTCGGCACTCACCACTGCCAGCGGAGCAATGGATATTTTAACGGCGTTAGGTGCATGGCCGTAGTGAGTGGAGGAGGCGCGCAGACGAGAGCCCTATCGACGGGAAGCGTGATTCATGTCTGGGATTCCGTGAAATCGCATCCGGAAACAGGCTCCCGTTCATACCTGTTGACGATCCTCCCCCTGCGGCCTCGTCCTCGGCCGTGCGCGTCAGGCAGGATGGCCAGGCAGAGTGACGCGGGGACGCGGCTGTGGTGAGGTAAAGAGAGAGATATTGAGAGAGAGAGAGAGAGAGAGAGAGAGAGATATTGAGAGAGTGTGAGTGACTGAGTGGAGGGGGGGGGGAGCCGGGACCCAAGCCTCCAGGTGCTTCCTCTCGCGTCTACGTGGGCGAGCGGCGCGCGCAAACGACTCTGCGCCCACCATCGCACGCTCGTACGCCCGCCTGTGCGTGTGCCGAGGTGGGGCCGACCGCTGACGGGCCGAGCGAGACTGGCCGTGGCGGTGTGCGTGTAGTGAGGCTGGGAGAGGGGCGCGCCGAGGAAGCTGGCTTTTGTGCTTGGCGGGTGTATTCCAGGGGCCGCACACGCGCCCGCAGGACACTTTTGCGCGCAACCCGCCGTCGGGAAATCCGTCCGAGTGAAATTAGCCGATGCGCGCCACTTCGGGCCACTGCACATTGTTCCGATCACGTACGGGCGAATCGCTTTCCTGATGGCTCCAAGTGTATTTATTACGGGGCCCGCGCGTATTTACGACCAGGGGCGCGCGCTCCCACCTGACCCCATAAAGAATGTACGTGCCGCGTGATCGAAGCCTCGTTTCAGCCTCGCTCATTTTCGCTTGGCGTCGGCCACTTTTGACGCGTCCTCCTTCCACCACCACCACCACCACCCCCCCTCCGCCCGACCCAGCTTCGACGAGCTTCGACGAATTAACGAGGTTGGAGGCTGATCGCCGATTGGGCCTTCCTTCCCATTCATTGTCGTCGTCAAATACTTGCACCCGCTGAAGTCGCCGCCGCCATTGCCATCATCGCCACCGATGTGAATGCGCAATTAAGATCGGATGTCCTTGAGACAGGTCCTCACGCGCCATTTATTCTTCTTCTTCGCGAAGCAACGAGGTCGATCAGCGCGAGGCGTACGTGAGGCACTGTCACGGGGGCTTGCCGGATCAAATGGAAAAAGTGCACGGTGTTTTTAAGCTGCGCCGGGAGTACCGAGAGCACGCCCGTCGAGGGTAATTTTGCGGTGCAGGCGGCGCCTCTGTCACTTACTCACTTACCCGTGCACTTGTGACTCGATGCTAAAATAGCCCCCGCCGAGTTATTATTGTATTATAATTAAAAACAGAAGCGAGTCTTCTTATAAAGTTCAACGTCGGCTATTTTTAGCCAATCGGCGATTTGCAAACATTCCTGGGTTTCGTGGCACGAAAATATACCGTCGACTTAAGAAGAATTAATCGGATAAGATAAAGTGCCGCCTAGTGACATTGATTGTGATGGAAATACGCGTGCCCAATCGCTGGCAAAACAACGATTCGATAATAATGAGTCGAAGGGAGCTTGTTTGAAAGGAGGGAAACATTGTTGGCAAACTATTATTAAATGAGTATCACTGTAAAACTGGACGTGAACGAACCGAGTGCTTTGCATTAGCCGATAATAAAGTTCGAATGAAAGACACGAAGAGCCCGAGCGATGGTTAGGGACTTTAAATTATAGAGGGAATAATTGCCGCGGATAATTCTTTCAAGTTCATAGGAAGTTTCGGAATGCTGTTTATAACGCGAATAGATATAGAGTAAGTAACGTCTCGTCGGAACTTGATCCGCTGATCCCCCCCCCCTCCCACCCACCGACCCACCCAATCCGCCAAACCTCGCCCACCCC